AACCCCGCCCACAACCAGAACAAACAAACAAACCCCGCCCACAAAACAAACAAAGATATACAACCCCACCACAAACAAACAAAAAATACAACCCCCGCCCACAAACAAACCCGCCCACAAACAAACAAAAACATACAACCCCCGCCCACAACCAGACAAACAAACAAACCCCGCCACAACAAACAAACAAACAAAAAAAACATACAACCCGCCCACAACCAGACCAAACAAACAAACCCCGCCCACAAACAAACAAAGAACAACCCCACCACACCCAACACAAAAAACATGACAAACCTTCTCCCCCAACATCCCAACCCCGCCACCCTATCAACACAACACAAAAACATACACACCCCACCGCCACACATATCTATATCAACACCCCCACCAAACATCAACCTCCTCCCACACAAACCAAAAAAAACAACCCCCGCCCCATACATTTACCACTCCGACAGACCCAACCCCAGCCCACAAAGATATATCTCCACCCACACATACATAACCCACTACATTCACCCCCAACAACCCCAGTCCCAACAAACAAACACCAACAAAAAATAAACAAGCCCACGCCCCGACACCACGACAAACAAAAACAACCACGGCCGCACAAACCAAACCCACCCAGCCACCCACCAACAACCACAAACAACCCCGCCACAATCCACAAAACTCGACCAGACCCATCAAAATAAACATACTTAGCACCTTCGTCCGGCGCCGACACCGAAACGACCACCAACACCAAACATATATGAGATATATTATACTAAACACACCACACACACAAACAAACAATCACAATTTAACACAACACTCAACCGCCCATCAAAAACAAACCACCCGCCAATCAAACAATATCAAAAACGAAAAACATTATACTAGCACCCCCGCCACAATCTAGGCCCAGACCAAACGAAAACCCCGCCCACAAACAACAGAACAAACGAGAAGAAAATATACAACCCGCGCGCGACAACCAGACAAAACAAGACAAGGACCCCGCCACGCGACAAAAACAAAAGATATACAAGCCCCAGCCCACAAAAACAAACAAAACATACAACCCACCGCCACAAGAGAGACCCCGACCCACAAGACAACACAAACAAAAAACATACAACCCCCGCCCACAAACCAGAGCAAACAAACAAAACCCCGCCCACAAACAAACCCCTGCCCACAAACAAACCCGCGGCCCGCACAAACAACAAACAAAAACAGTACAACCCCCCGGCCCACGAACCGTACACAGCATCCCCACCACCCACCGCCCCCGGGACACGCAGCAAACACCTCAGACGAGCACACCCCAGCGCGAGTCAGACCGCTGGCACCCTCCCTCAGACACTGCCGCCAAAGGTCACCGAGCGCCCAGGCTCCCCTCACCGATTTTAAAGCCTCAAGTTCGGTTTTTAAAGATTTCGGCCGCCCGACGGTCTTTTAAGGCTGATGAGCGCAGATCGCCGGCGAAGCAAGGCGAATGATTCAGGCTTGACGATCTGGTACAAGTGGTATGGGTGTATGTTTCTAATTATTATCGATTACATAACATATATCATCATTACATACTTTACAATCATACAATTACTTGTACATAACTACATACAACATGAGAGCATTAACTCATATCTATACATACATGCATAACATTATCTATACTATAATTCGCTACAACATTCATACACACACACACAACATTCACACTATCTACATCTACTACACATCACACACATCTCACACATCTACATTCACCACACCTATCATCATAATATTCTAATTTGCTTAATTATATTAATCATACATATCATCTTTATTATTGTTAGTTTTATTTTATATCTATATCTAATTTAATATCATTTATCAATTATGGTTATGATAATTTAGTTATTATTAAATCAATGTGTTTATCTGTGTGTGTTGATTTAGTATATATTCTGTGTGTCCTTATTACTTTATTTACGCATTATAATATTATCATCATTTATTATTCAATTCATTTGTGCTGTGTTGTGCTCTCTTGATGCATGATGTGTGTGTTGCTTAAGTGTGGGTAGTGTAGTGCAGGATGAACATTAAAATTAATGTGTGTGTCTTATGTACCTATGCACTTTGTTCATCTCATATTATATATAGTGAGCCTGAGAGTGTCTAGTATTCACGATATAGAAATATATGTTCTATAATATTCATGCGCAACATTTAATATAACAGAGAATCAATGGAATAGGATTAATAGGATAGACTTAATATGTATAGAAACCGATCGACTGAAAGAACGCACAATAGCAAGTAGAAATGTAATAATTAGTAACAATTGCAACGTGGAATCTAGAGATGAGCTGTCTAAGACGCCGACCGACCCATCGACTCTCTATCTCTCTCGAGCTATCATCTCGCTGAGACTATATCGTATGCAACTCTCACTCCTTCTCGTCATATCGTCTCGCGTCATCCTACCATCACTCTCATCATCCATCTCGCCCTCACGACGCCGACCAGCACGTACACGTCGACTCAGCACCTACACGCCCGTATTCAGACGCAGCGCACCAAAGTAGCCCCTCCCTCTCGTACCTCCCTCGACAACCGTAGATAGCAAGCAGAGTGCAAGAAGCAGACCGACCCGAACCAGGACTGGAGAGAGAGAGACGAGATGACCACAAACCACGCACTAGCAACCGTCATTAATACCAAACTCGCACAAGAAACACCACGATACCCAACGCACGAAACGACACGAGCAAGATTGAAGTATGCAAGCAGTTACGAGAGAAAGAGAGACAGAGCAGTTCAAGTACTTAAACTAACACAGCACTAACACTAGAAAAGAGATTATCTACATATGATATAAGAAATAATAGTGTGCAAGAAAAACAAGACAAACTCAGAACACAGAACAACTCAAATGCGGCGCACGCGCGACTATTACCGCGATCTTTAGAGTGACATTCTTATCTAACACAACGATGCGCCCGCTCCCTCCCTCCCTTCTCACCTCCTCCCTTGCCCCTCCTCCACTCACACTCCTCACTTCCCAATTTTTGCCCCCGTCACCTCGCTCATACTCGCGTGCGACCGTCGCAGCGCGCGTCACGATTCCCGGAGGGGCTGCGAAGGGGTAGGGAAAGAGACCAGTCTTAGAAGTATTTTTTCTTCTTCTTCTTCTTCTTTCTTCTTTTTCTTTTCTTTTTTATTTAATTACATTGTGGCTTTTGTCTATGTTGGTCTGGTCTATCTCTTGCCTCTGTTTCCTGCTTTGTGTGTGTCTGATTTTGTCTCCTCTCTCTTTCTCTTTCTTTTTTTTTTCTCATTCTTCTCTCTCTGTTTATATATATATATATATATATATATATATATTATATATATTATATTATATATATATATATATATATTATATAGAGAGAGAGAGAGAGAGAGAGAGAGAGAAGAGAGAGAGAGAGGGAGGGGAGGGGAGAAAAAGAGAGAAGAGAAAGGGGGGAGAAGAGAAAAAAAGAGAGAGAGAGAGAGAGGGGGGAGAGAGAAAGAGGAGAGAAGAGAGAGAGAGAGAGAGAGAGAGAGAGAGAGAGAGAGAGAAGAGAGAGAGAGAGAGAGAGAGAACGAGAGAGAGAGAGAAGAGAAAACGGACAGGAGAGAGGGGGGGAGAAAAAAGAGATAAGAGAGAAGATTATTGTAATATTTTTTCTTTTGTTTAATTGTTTTGCACTGTAATTGCAATGTTAATAATGGCGTAATGAATTATTAAATAAGATGCAAATAGCTTGATGAAAAGAATTTGCAAATACAGGAAATCGTAGCTGATTTTTTGCAAGAGAACTGTACTTGTGATGGACAGTGTGATACAGGATGGGAATAGCAGTTGTCATTGTTTATGATTATCATGATATTTTTTATTATATCATTATTATATTTATTATCTTTACTTGATAACGTATTATCGTTATTGTCTAATCAATATTATTATTATTACAGTATCAGTTGTTATTGTTCATTGTTAGTCATTATTTTATTATCATTATTATTATCAGTATCATTGTTATTGTTATATTAGTGATTATTGTTATACATTATTGTTTTTCATCAATATATCATTCATTATTATTAACATATCATTGCAATGATAATTATTATTGATCTTACCTTAATCAACATACAGTATTAATGGTTTATCACAACATTACCATACTCACTGCATATCCCTTCTATTCCTACTCGCATTCCCATTCCCACTCCATTTCAGACCAATTCTTAACTTCGACTTGTTATCGCGCATTTCCTCATTCCATCTCTCTATTCCCGATTCCAATTAAATCTCCCGGTATCATTCCTGTTAAACCTCCCATTCGCAATATTTCACATTACCCAATTAAATCTCATTCCAATTCCCTATTCTCACACATTCCCAAATTCCAAATTAAAATATCTCATTCTTA